ATGCCACCCCTGCAGCACACCAAGGGCCCCATTCTGCTCTAACTACTGGATGCCTCTGGTCCAGGCTGCTAGTGCCACTCCTCTAGACAGGGGCTGGAAATCAGGACCCAAAGGAAATAGCAAAGCCTGGAATGAACCACCTTCTCACTCAGTTGCAGCCTGGCTCCAATCATTTCCCCCATCTGTTAGTAGGGGATTTGGGCAGGGGTTAAGCAATGTTCTCAGGGAGGCAGACGCTTGGAGCTCAGACCTTGAAGCTCTCCCATCCTGGCTCTGGGAATCTCTCCTGCCACCAGCACAATCTTCACTTTTGGGAGGGAGGGACCACATCCTCTAGAGGTGGCAGCTCATTGTCCCACCAGCTGCTCTCAGTGCCCTTGAGTCTGTACCCGGACTCAACACCTGGGCCAGCACCGGGGCAGGACCGGGAGGCAACAGAGACTGAGTCTGCGGTGAGAATCTTGGCATAAAGCCCAGAAAGGATGGATGTGGTTTAACAGACAAGGACATTTTTTTGAGGGGGGAGATTCCTTCCAGTGCAAATCTCCTTTTCTTCCTTGATACTTCCAGAAGACCTTGGGGCATCCCACTGGGCAAACTCATTCCAGGGCTCCTTCTTCCAGTGCCCCCCATTCTGACCAGTTCTCCATACAAAGCACTCCCCAGAACTCTCCCCTCCACAGCTCCCTGGTCTGATGGCTTCTTCCTGCCTGGCTGCACGAGGGCTGACTCCTGCCCCTCACCTGGTTTTCAGTGCGGTTGATGCCCAGGAGGAAGAGCAGCTCAGAGAAGAAGAGGGTGGCAGCTATGTTGGAGTAGATGCCCCGGGTGTTGGACTTGAGGCCCTTCAGACATGTCAAGAAGAAGAAGGTCAGCAGCAGAGCCACGAGGGACAGAGACACCAGGGAGTAGGTGACAATGGCCAAGGTCTCCAGGTCACCCTCCAGTTGCTGGAGAAGAAAGCCAGAAACAAGCTTCAGAGTTAGGATGGAAGACACTTGGCATGTGCAGGCTTCCAAGGTCTCTCTCCTCTCTCTTTCTCCCTCTCCCTTCAGGACACCAAAGAGAGAAGCAATCTGGGACTCTCTCTGACACCTGTGCAATGGATGCTACCTGCAACTGTATGGCTCACGACCCTGGCCTGCCCTTCTCAGCATCCCACCTCAGCCCTTGCCCTCTCCCTCTGCAGAGGCTGGCTTACCTCTCGGTGGGAGCTGTCCATGAGGACCCCAAAGGTGCCAAACTGGGAGCACTGACAGTGCACATGTGTGGTGTTCCTGTACACAAGGTCACAGTCTCTTGCTGTCCAGAAGCCGGAAGGGTCAGTCCTGCAGCAACCAGACAACACAGAGCACTCTGAAAGGACCAGGTCTTCCATACTGCATCTCTTCCCATGGAGAGGCAGCCAGCGAGGGTGGGAGGGTCACAGCCTGCTGGGCACCTGCCTTACAGCTCAGGGACCCTCTGGCTGCTGGGAGGGGGTCTTTTCTCCAAAGCTCCAGATGTGGAGGTGCAAGGGTGCAGGGATGACTGAGGCTGGTGACCCCCACCCAGGGTGGCAAGGGCATAGCTATGTGCCAGTTCCACTCACAGCACACAGGTGCAAATCCCCTTGCCCCAGAAGATGGTGCCATGTCAAGCCAGTTCCACTCCCCACTGCTCCCCCCACTGACACCCTCACTAGCAGGATTTCACAGCACCAATGGCAGTGAGGGGGAGGCAGGGAACTAGTTGACTCCTCTGGGCAACACCCAGTGGGGGAGTCTGTGCTGGCCCTGGACGCTGGCGGGGCACTTACAGGCTGGAGTGGTTCCACTGCACGCACAGGGGCTTGCTCCGGTTGGCCGTCTGCAGCAGGCGAAACTCCAGTACCAGTGGTGCCTCCAGGGTGCCCTGGATGAAGGTGTGGTTGCTGAACACAGACACACTCACAATAGGGGAGTTCATGACGGGGTTCTTGGGCAGTCTGCAAGAGACAACAGGGACCTTGTCACAAAGCTGGGCTTTTACCAGGCCATTTCCCAGAGAGTAGCAGTGCCAGAGCTAGTGGCATCTCTGTGCCCATGGAAGAGACTGATGGAGACCCAGCCAGACTCAACCCTGCCCCAAGCCAGCTCCCTGGGGTCTACCCAGTCCTTGGTCTTCTCTTCAAAGCTGCCACATGGGGGCAAGCAATGCCAATTGTGTGAACGGCATTAGCAGTGCAGACACCCACATCCTGGGACCTGGGCAGGGACCCCAGCTCCTTTTGCACAGGCCACCGGACAGCTTGGCTCAGCCAACAGGCAAGCAGCAAAGAGTCCTGAGCTCTGGTCCCTGCCAGGCTGGCAGCACCTGGCTGGCTTGCAGTCTACCCCAGCACAAGCAGGCTGGCCACACTGAGGACTGTGTGGTGGGTGGTACCTGAGGCTGCGGCGATCCACCTGGTAGCGGGCAGGGAGCAGTCCCCCCAGTGTGCGGTAGATGATGAGGATGATGATGGTGACAGCAGGCTCAGGGTCTGGGAGGGCCTGCCTGGGGGGCGAGGTCCACATTGTGTCATTCCCTTCACTGCTTGCAGGTGTCGGCACCACTGTGGATGGAGCTCGGGTCAGAGAGACAAATCGAGAAGGGACTGGTTTCTGGGCATGACCTGGACAGAGCACAGGGCCCGGTGGAAGTGAGGACAGGCTCCTCAGGCTGTCTCACTAGGCACGATGCTGCAGACAGAGGGGAGCCTCTTGGAAAAGGAGAGTAGATAAAACACATTGCCTTAGCTGGGGCTGTGTTGAGAAGCCCCGAGAGCTCCACGGCCCCTTCCCTCTCCTATCCTAGCCACTCTCCAGGGACCAGGAGTTGCCTCCTGGATGCTGCTCTCTGGGGCTGTGCAGCATCACACACAGCCTGGGAAGGCCCTTCAGAGCCCAGCATAGTCTCAGCAACAACCATAAGAGTAATGCAAGATGCTTTCTTCCTTCAGGGACTGGGCAGGCTCCCAGCTTTTGCTGGCTTGAGGCTACTGAGTCAGAGGGAGCTGCCTGCCAGCCTGGATCTGCTCATTCCTGCCTAGGCCCCATCAAGAACTATATGAGCCTGTGGGGTGAGGCACGTGGGGATGCCCAGTGGCCCTCTGACCTGCTGGTGGTGGGGTGCTGTGGAAAAGAGACTCAGACAGAATCAGACAGCCAGGACTGAACTCCGGGCACTGCTGTGCCCTCTGTACAGTGCAGCCCTGAGCAGAGCAGCCCTGGTCCCTGCCAGGCTGGGGCTGGGGGGCTCAGGTCAGACACTTGCTTACCTTCTGCTTTGAGGGGGGTGAGCAATGAAAGCGGCAGCACCACGTGGGTGTGGGGGTCCCACAGGGCCTGGCCCCGGAACAGGCTGCTGTGGTAGCGGGGGTAGCGTCTCCGCACATGGGTGTGGTTCTCCATGCGGTCAATGCTGAGCACTGCATGGGGGGCAGAAGAAGAGTCAGGACCTCCGGCTGCTCGGTTTGGGGGCCCAGTGTGAGAGGCCTAGCCAGGGTTAATACATTGGCTTTTTTCTTTGGGATGGCACATTGCAGTGGGCTTGAGGCCACAATTGAAGTGAGCAGGAAGGTCTGAGTCCTATCCCTGTGAGATGTGCGCACCCCCTCCCCACTGCACATCCCCCCCAAGCCATGACCACACAGTGAGGGGACCATGCGTGGATGCACATGCCAAACCCACAGACACGTCAAGCAGGAAGGAGCCATCTTGACATACCCGGTTGTTCTCGAGCCAATGGAGCCCTCCTGGGATGCCCCTTCTGTCAGGCTATGACCTGGGAGGAGCTGCCCAGAGCTGTGGTGAGCAGACGTTTTACTCAAGGGTTTACAGGGAATAACCAGGAGGGAACAGTGCTCCTGGGGGAGAACTGCTGTTCCCCAGCAGCTGCCTGTGAAGTTACCAATAGGGGCTGGCTGGAGAGGAGGTACATCCCAGGAGCCCAGCTCATGCCTGGCTACTGACTGGCAGGTGTGTTTGGTTTCTCCAAGTGACACTGCTGGGGACACAGATCACAGCTGGCCTGGAATGACTGCCATTGAGCCAGGAGACTCAGGCTAACTGCCCGTGGTCCCCGACTCCTGCAGACATCCATGGAAGTGTGTGTGGACCCCAGAGAGGGGGATACCTACTTAGCTGAAGTCCCTCCAACAGCATCACACTCCACTAGGGCACAGCTGAGTCAAAGGAAAGTCCACCCTTTCTGCTCACCAGCTGACACCCCCCACTTTAGCTGGGGAGACATGACACTGGTCTCACTGATCCTTCTGACCCCTGTTAGCCCGTTGTCTTAGGTGTCAGGGCTTCCTCCTCTGCCCTGGCACTACTCCCAGCCACGGCCTACTCACTGATATTGGGCGTCACCACGCCCACGGGGTTGAGGTAGGTGAGTTTCATGTTGCTGGCCAGCGTGCCCGTGTACTCTCGCAGCCGCTCCATCAGCCCAGCGCTGCCGTGTTCACTCTGCAGCAGCATGTCCCAGTGCTCACGATTCTCTGGTGCCAGCACTGAGCTTCCTGCCTGCAACAGGTTCTGCAAACAGACCCAAAAGGCAGAGTCCTTAGAGAGCTTGAGAGTGAAATGCCTCTCTTCGAGCTCCCCCACCAAGTGACCCACTGGCAGCTTCTGGTCCAGGAAGGCTGGGGTGTTTGGGATGCTCCTTTCTCCAGAGCTGGGTCCACACCTAAGCACAGCCCCCATGAGACTCTTCTGCTCTTACTGAGACAAGATCCCAGGCCCTGGACCTTCTCAGTATCAGAAAGGGTTTCCTCCTAGAGAGTCTCCATCACCCTTTTCTTGGTTTACTGGATTCCACCAGTTCTTTATGGGCCATTCTGAACCCTTGTCAGCAAGCATGTAGTTGAAAAGTGGGCACATGGTACGATCTGCAGGCTATGTGCCACGGCCTCATGGACTGCCAGCAGTCAGTGGGCCACTATTTGGGAATTACTGGTTTCATTTCAGTCCCTGGGTTCCCCAGTGCTCCCTGAAGCATCCAACTTCTTTAATAACAAACAGGCTGAACAAAGCAGCAGGGCCGGTCCCCTACCCCAGTGAGGAAGAACCTGCCACAGGCAGAGTGATGGGCAGGGTGGGATGAGACACTGCAAGAATCTACCTAAGAAGCTGCACTGAGGCTGGTCCTGGGACAGCACTGATAGGCTCTGCTGCCTTTGGCCAGGGAAGTACAGGACACCTTCCACTGCACCTGGCACTCACCTCATTGAAGTGGGCATCCTGGGTGGCTGTCAGGCCAAAGCCATGCTGCCTGCTCTCAAAATCCATCAGGCGGGACAGGAGGCGGTAGGTGATGTGGACATCATTGCCGAAGTAGCGCTCCATCTGGTCAGTCACTGTGCGCAGCCGAAGGGCCAGCTTCTTCGCCTCGATGGTGTTCAGCTCTGTCTCGTTCCTCTCCAGGCCCTGCAGCTGCCAGCAGAGAGGAAGGACAGGAGATCAAGTAGTGCTAAGTCAGGCTGTGGCTGCATCACTCCAGCCCCAGAAAACCCTGGGATAAAGGGGAGCAGGGCCTGATGCCCAGCAAGTCCAGCCAAGCTTGGGGACCATCTTGGAAACCAGGGAGATAGGCAGTATAAAGGTTCTCTTCAGGCACAATCACCAAGCCAGTGGGAGGTCTGAGACTAGGCACTGCCTGCAATGACAGCTGGCTAGCTTTGCCCTTGCAAACTGTTCCTGTGGAAGACACGAAACCCCTGATGACAGAGGCATTTGGATCATCTAAATTCATGCAGGAGGATCTGGTAGTTAAAGAGACACCATCAACCTGGAGTCTGGACAATGACAAAAACATGTTTCTAGTGCTGTGCTTCCTCATGTGCACTGGCCTGCCCTGGCTGCTTGACTATTGCATTTTCCTGTTCCACAGGGCATAGCTTACTCTTCTCCTGAGAAACTGCCCACAAACACGGTGAAACTGGCTATGTTAGCTAAAGCCACTGGGTGCAAAGTCAAGAAACTGGAAGAAAGAACACCTAATACTTCTTTTTTGGTCTCTCCAGTCTCATCCAGTTACAAGAGTTTTCAGTATTACTGTTGACAGAGGCAGACTAAATAACCAGAGCAGTCCAAGTCCTGCATCTGATGTTATCACTGACTCTCAGCTGTTCTATGCCCAGGTTACTTGGCTTTGGAGCAGCAGAGCACAGTAATCTGGACCCCCAGACAACCCACAGCTGTTGATTTGTGGGGGCTCATTTCTCTGGGACAGAACAGTGGATTAGAAGGAAATAAAAAATTAGAAGCAAAGGAGGTTCCCCAGATGGGTAAAAGAATTTCACAGACATACACAGATTGCAAATTAAAAAGCCAGCAGCAATAATTTGCCCAGATTCCTGGACACTGAATTGTCAGGTGAACTTAAAGATTCATCATTTCGTCTTAATGATCAGGCAATAGGTAGTCTTCATTCATTTTGACAGCAGGCTGAATGGGGCGGGAGGGGGAGCACAGCTGTCAACTCTCTGTGGATGGTGGAAAGAAGGAGGGGGAATAATCTGACCCATGCTACCTTCCTGCAATTGTCAGTCACATTTTCCCAAAAGTTTGTCACAATGGCGCTCAGTGAAAAACCTGCCCAGAAATGTCACAAGGAGAACTGCTGGGTGCTCAGCCCTTGGGAAACTCCAGCTCCCTTTTAGGTGCCAGGATGAGAGCAGAGCTCATGAACATCTGGCCTCAAGCACTGTTGAGAATCTAGCTGTTCAGGGCAAGAGCCTGGCAGACAGCTGCTGCCTTGTGCAAGGAGATTGTGGATTACCAGTGCAGAGAGCTCCTTGAAGGCAGGCGATGTGCAGTTGAAGAGGTCTGGCTCCAGCCAGCCTTTCCCCTCATCACAGTGTCGGACAGCTGAGCCTGAAAGGAGATGCAAAGGTCAGGGGTTTGAATCCAGAGTCCCCACCTCCCAGCCTGCAAGGAGAGCATCATGTCCAGGGCCAACTTGCTGCTTCTGTCACTACCATCAAAAGAGATGGTGCTTGCCTCCTCAGAGCCAGGCCAGCTGAGCTACCCACTGGGACCCCAACTCATGTCGCATTAGAGGCAGCCCTGATTTTCTGTGAATACTGCCAGGTTCTGTAGCCATTCATTCATCAGCCGGGATGAGCCACCGCCAGACTGAGGACCACCCACAAGCACTTGCACCCAGGTGTTTTCCAGTTGTGGCACATGACCTGTCCCCTGTATCAGGTTGTATGACTGACTCTGGGAGAGGAGAGTCAGGAGTGAGCAACACCAGTCAGCATCACTGGGACTCAGGCCCGAGGACCCCTGAATAGTGATGGAGGGATCTGTGCCTACCTGAAGGGGACTAAAGATTTGACCAACATAGCACAGCCTGCCTGGCCAGATCCATTTATTCACTGAAACACCTGCACCTCATCCATTGCTCAGATACCACCACATCTTTCTCTTTTGCCTTGTATCTGACATGTCGAGAGAGAACTCCCCACAGGGAGGCTTCCTGGCCCCGCTACACTGGTATCACGATAGCCTTATGGTCAGACTGGCACAGTGATGCTGGTACAGACTAAGGTTGGGTATTTGACCTGTCAAATAAAGTTCAGTCAATTGACCGGTCAAATATTGGTCAAAAACTAAAAAAAACTGCCAACAGGTCCACATAATAGATAAAAAAAGCACAAATTTTCCACTACAAATGTGTCAAAAGCAATAAAAAAGCATATTTCTGTCAAAAAACTACCAAAAAAATAGATTTTTTGTAAAATTGTTATAATCTTTGACCAGTCAAAAACATGCAGTCAATTGACCAGTCAACTGACAATATTTGACTAGTAAATTAACCAGCTTATTGACCCTAGTACAGACAAGGTCTCTGGTCTTTTGTTTAACACAGGGAAGCTCTGACCATGGAATACATACAAAAAGGACTGGACTGTTCTATGCACCCAGCTGTGTCAGGAAACCCTCCCACACCCAAACTCATTGGCAGTGCCCACACTGGCAACCAGGCCCTGAGGAAACCCAGTGAGCACAGCACCGACTGAGCCATGGAGACCAACACCAATGTCATGCACTCCAATGACATAGCCAGTAGCCCACCACGTGCCATCACCCTCAGCGGTGTCAGCTATTCATCCGCATGCAGTCCTCATGGGAGCCATGTCCCAGAGCTAACAACTCTTGTGCCTCCGGGGAGGTGAGTGTATCCATGCTGTTGTGTTTCTGGGAGGCTCAGACAGGGGAAGCAACTTGCCCAGGATCTGAGTCAGTGGGGAGCCAGGACTGGGTTTATCAGAGGTGACCACCAGTATCTGGGGGAACGTTTGTTCACCAGAGCGCCCCAAGGGATGACGAGGTCGAATGGTTATAAACTACTGCAAGTCCATTTCAGGCTGGACATAAGGAAGTATTTCTTTACTGTCCGAGCCCCCAAGGTCTGGAATAGCCTGCCATCGGAGGTGGTTCAAGCACCTACATTGAATACCTTCAAGAGAAATTTGGATGCTTATCTTGCTGGGATCCTATGACCTCAGCTGACTTCCTGCCCCTCGGGCAGGGGGCTGGACTTGATGATCTTCTGAGGTCCCTTCCAGCCCTAATGTCAATGAATCTATGAAATCTATGAAATCTCATAGCTTCAAGAAGGTCCTCTGAGCAACCTAGCAGGCATTCTCCATCCTGCTCATTCTCCACTAACCCCATCACCCCTGTCTTCCCAGAAGGCTTCTTCTCCTTAGTGCTATCAACAACAGCATCAAAGCCAGAAAGGGCAGACAGCACTCAGTCCTGGAGGCTAGGGCCACACAGTGCGCTCACCTTTTTCTCTGTATCTTGCCTTTATTTCGGCCAAACAATACCTTCCCCCACCTCTCTCCAGCAGTCTGGGAAGTCCCTGTAGCTTGGGAGGGATCCTGCAGAATGTGTGGAAACTAGATTCCTCTACCAAAGGAACTAATGAAAGACAGGTCCCTGCCATCCTGGAGGGTGATGAGACACCTGGGGCATGATGCCAGCTGACAGCATTTTGCTTTTCCAAGCCCATGGGCAATGCTAAACCAGGCCATGGGGTGCAGAGCTCTAGAGCTGGCCTGGCCAAAGAGCCGTGAGCTAGTCTACCAGGCACAGAGAGCTCTTATGTAGTAGCTGGGATGCCTAAGCATGCTTGCCAGCCATGTTCCTTTCCCTGCTTTTTGTGGTAGCTGTGCCTGGAGGCACCTGTCTCCCTGCCATGTCTGCCTCCAACCTGACTGGTCCAAATGGGTTCCTCCTCTTTCCCCCCATGTCATGTCTGTCCAAAGGCCCTCCACTTCCTCTTCCCTTCTTTCCCTCTCTTATGGCCACTGGGGTAGCTCCCTTCCCAAAGCAGGTGTCATGTTGCAGGTGGCAGCAGCAGCCACTTGCCTCTCCCTATTGTCCTGAGCCCTCTTAGCCAACCCCCATCAGTGCTCTAGCAGCTGAAGCTATGGGCTACCTGCAAGCAGCCCCCTGAGCACAGCAAAAGCAGCACCTCCAAGTTCCAGCCCTCCAAAGCAACATAAAGGCAGCAAGACAGAACGGTAGCAAGGCAATGCCTGGCTGCGGGGGTTTCTGCAGGTTAGGTTTCTTGGGGAGAGGAAGAGTGGTTGAGGGCAGGCAGTGGTACAAGGAAGCCAGGGCCAGGTGCAGCATTAGTAACATGGTTGGCAGCTCTGGAAGCATCAGGGAAAGCGGAGGGACCATGGGGGTGCCAGGCAGGGAGCAGGGAATGGAAAGCCACGCAAAGCAGCCCTTGCAACACGCAGGGAAGGGAACGGGTCCTTACCTGCACCCCGCAACCCTGATCAGACGGGAGAGAAAATGGGGAAGAGAAGCAACACGGTTAGGAGTGGAAGGAGCCATGGGGGAGAGGAACGACCTTCTTCCAGCAGGTGTCTGGAGGAGGGGTGGGATTGGTGCTGGCCACCCTATTGGCACAGCACTTCCCAGGCACAGAACTGCCCGGGGCTCTGGGGACACAGGGAGACTCCTGGATGCCTCCTGCATCTCAGGCCATGGACCCCGCATTCCTTTGCCCTTCCGTTGGCTGGGGAGGGTTTCACTCTCCACTAAGGCTGAGCTCCAGGACCCTGAGGACAGCAGGGCCCTGCTCTGGGGCACACTCCCTGGCTCCAGGCTACTGAAGCCAGGAGCTGGCAGGACTTTGGGTGCAGTGCCAGACACCTCTGCTCTATACCACCCACTGCACTGATGGGCAAGGAAGAAGGATTCAAGATCTAAAGAGGGTCTTTTGGCCCATTCTGTTTTTTGTGGGGATGAAAATCCTGGGCCTGCTCTGAGCCTGGCTCCCAAGAGCCCCATGCCCCTGCCTGGGTTCAGCCCCTGGGCTGTTCCTGTCACACAGCTTGGATCCCACTGAGAGGCCCCACAGAGGCATCTGGAGCAGGGTTCATAGAGGCCCTTCCACTCTCACAGCTCTTTCCATGCTCCATTTCCAAGGAAAGTGCCCTCCCCTCTCAAAGGACTGTTCCCCACTCTTCCCAGCCCACAGAAACAGGAGCCTGTTGCTTCAAACATGAGAACAGCAGGAGCAGCTCAGATGATCTGCCCTGCTCACAGCTCTGGCCTGCAGCAACCCAGCATGGGCGGGGGTGGGGGGAGTTGTTGCAAGAGCTCATGCCTCCTCAGTCAGCCTGGGAAGAGGGCCCCTTCCAGGACTCCCGCCAGGAGTCCCTCTAAGCACTGCCCCCCCCGACGGATCACTTACCCAAGGAACCTTTGGGACAAGGCACCAGGGCTGAGAAGCCAAACTTGGTCTGTGGCCACCAGACACCCGCTCTCAGGGTCTTGGGGCATCCGTCGTAGAGCACTGCCAATGGGAAGAGAGATGCTGCAGTTAATGGGGTGCATGGGGGAGGGAGCTTGTTGCAACCAAGTGCCTCACCAAAAGAATCATGGACAAAGGGCACAGGGGTTAGATGACTCTCCCTAAGCCCCCAGAGCCAGGTTTGTCCTGATCCAGGGGTGGGACTCAGGCCAGGGGCTCCCAACTCACCCTCGCAGCCGCTTGGTGTCACCTCTGCAAAGGGGCTGTCGCAGTTGTTGCACTGGCGTCCGATCACACCAGACCTGCAGTGGCACTGGCCTGAGTCCTTGTCGCAGGAGCGTGAGGAGGAACCCACAGGGTAGCAGTCGCAGGGCAGGCAGGTGTCACTGCCTTGGGGCCGGTAATGGAAGTCCTGCAGGAGATGGGAGAGTGGCAGGGAAGGCGGTTAGAGAGCTGAGGTGCAGAGAGGGGAGTGGCGGGGACAAAGAGAGGCCTGTCAGTACAGCTGGCAAAAAAAGAATGGCCTGTGGGGAGGAAGAGAGGCCCGGAGAGCCCATGGGAAGAGGAGGGCGCAGGCAGAACTGAGGGAAGCAGGGGCAGAGCAGATAGTGGGGGCAGAGGGTGGTTACAGTAGGAGTCTGCCCACAGCAGCCCAGGTGGAGACTACATGCAAGTCTCCCCAGCCATAGCACCTTGCCCTGCCCAGGGCTTGAGCAGGAGGTGACATTGAAGTACTGGGCAGGATTGAGGGGACACAGGGCATTTAGGGAGCTCAGCTCCTCCCCAGCAGACCGATGCGGAGTCTCCCAGGGTCCTGGGAGCTAGCAGGTCATCTGTTCATGACAGCTGCAAGGCCATCACAGGACAGGGAGTCACAGCAACACACCCCAGACAGACTGACAAAGGCAGGAGGGACAAGCGCCACCCCTCAGTGCCAGGGGAAGGAGGAACCCGGGGTGACCTCTCAGGTGCGGGGGTGGACAGGGCATGAGGCTGCATGTAGGGTCCAGGAGAGGGCAGGGCAGGGCAAGGCAGGGTAGGTTGTGACTCCTTACCTTGCAGTGGCATTTCCCATTGGTTTTGTTACAGTCAGGGTCGAAGCCCTTGTTGATGTCGCAGTTACAGGGCCCGCAGGTCGGGTTCCCCCACCAGCCTTTGGGACACTGCTGGTCCATCCTGGGACACAAACCCATGGTGACCTGAGGCCCTCCCCTCAATGCCCAGCTCAACACTTGCCAGCAGCAGCGTCCCCATCATCATGCTCAGAACGGAGAACAGAGCTGCCCAGCCTGGCCAAGGCTCCAGGCTAGCGCAGCAGGGGACGAAGCAGGCTCACTCGGAAGGAGGACAGAGCAGGGGCTTGCTGGGCATAGCAGCAGCCCCTGGAAAAGGGCAGAACAATGAGGGTGGGGTGGGGGGCAACTCCTGCAATGGCTGTGGGGCAGGGCCTGAGCACACCCTAGGGGCAGCCCAAGGGGGAACCCTGCCTCAATGAAGAGAGCATAGGGAGGAGTTGTGAATAACAGGGACCAGCACCTAGTGCCCAGCCCTCCCACTCTTCACCTCAGTCCCCACCTGACATCACCCCCCTCCCCTTGGCACCTGCCCTGCTAAAGGCTGGTGACAACACAGCACAGGAGCCCAGGCCAGCTGAAGCTGATCCCTGGCCTGGGCTTCAGCACCCTTCTGGGAGCCTCTCAGTGGAGAGAGAGACCCAACCTCAGGGGCAGGGGAAAATGGGCTCTGAGCTACCCAGGACTCACCTGTGTTCACAGTACTGCCCAAAGAAGTTCCCTTTGCACTCGCACACATACCCCAGGGGGGCGCCTGGCCGCCGTCGACATACTGACTTGTTCTTACAGGGATTGAAGTGACAGGCATCCATGCAGTCCCCTCCATAGTACCCTGTGGGGACACACCCGGTGTTGTCAGAAAGAAGTGATGGCAGCCACAGGAGAGGCAAGGAGAGGCTAGAGCTGATGGAGGTGAGTCATAGGGTGGGGGCTCTCTGCTGAGCCAGGTAAACCTGGCCTCTCACAGGGGTTTTCGTGGAGGGACCCAAGGTTATGACTCATGTCAGGTGCTTCCCTTGTGCTGTGAAGGGCCCCAAACACAGCTGACAGGAGAGAGGATACAAGGCAGGCACAGGGGAAAGGGGTGAAGAGAGGAATGGAAAGCAGGCTGCTTATGCAGGGGGTCGGACTCGATGATCTATAGAGGTCCCTTCCGACCCTAACATCTATGAATCTATGAATCTATGACATGCAATGGGTAGGAGTGGAGGGGAGGAGGGCAGGAAGCAGGCAGGGCCCTACCTGGCTGGCATGTGCAGGAGTAGCTCTGCCACTCATCCCTGCAGATGCCGTTGGCTGGGCAAGGGCTGGCATCACAGGCATTGGGCACGCTGCATCCTGCCTCCACATTCAGGGCACTGCTGGGCTTGGGCAATGCCAGCCCTGTAGGCGAGTCCCCGAGGCGCACGCCCTGAAACCCAGCAAGATGTGCAGTAAAGCCTGGGATTGGCATGACTGTCCCAGCCAAGCCAGCAAGCCTGACCCATCTCTCTCACCACCACTCCCAGGTGCTCTGGGCCTTGCCAGGCTGCTGCTATCCACTGCCCTCCCTTGCCCCAAGGCTTCCACGCAGAGCTGTCTGGGCAGAAGCACGAGACAGAGCAGCCCTGGGGGTGACTCTGAGCGCTTACCTGCACGCAGCCCTTCAGACCACCCTGCACCTCGCCAGGCCCCGGGATCCCCCCGACATGGAGATGCTTCACCTTCAGGCCATGCAGCTCATTCCCCACAACCACGGTGTCCTGCGGAAGGGGGGCGTGAGGTGAAGCTGCCTGCAGTCTGGATCTGCAAGGCACCCTGGTCATCACCCGCTCCCCGCAGGCCTTGTGGGAAGAGACCCAGCCAGGTACATGGGGATTGGTGCAGGGTCTCAGAGGCACCGAGCTCCCTCCCAGAGGTCAGCAGGAGACACAGGGAGGGTGACAAGCACCTTATAACCACCTGCAAGGGAGCCCAGTGCTGGCAGCCAGGCCCTCACATGCCCTCCTCCCAACCCTTCACTGCTGGTGCCACCTCTGAGACACCCCCTTGCCAGCATCTGGAGAGCACAGACCTGGTAGACCCCAAAGTCCAGGCTGACAGTAATGATGTAGCGTGAGTCCCGCCCGTTGTGAACATCCCGCAGCTCCAGCTGGACGTCATGCCACTTCCCATCACTCAGGTGCAGCTGGTCCAGAAGTAGCTTGGTGGTGCGGCCGGCGCCCCTGTTCACCACGAGGGAGAGCAGGCCTGCATCCAGCTGAGAGTAAGGGAAGGAGTGGTAAGCAAGGCCCAAGACAGCTCACGTCACTCCCTGTCCTGCCCTTCCCATGTCAGCCAGGAGCCCTCCTCAAAGGACCACCCACAGCCAGGCTGGGGACACCCCAGCTCTCCACCTGGCCAGCATCCCCTGTATCCCACTGAGCACAGCCCAGGGCTGCAGAGTAAGTCAAGGGGCCTGCCCCTGACCAGCCCGGGCTGCAGCAGCTGCCCCAGAGGCTGTGCATTAGGCTACCAAAGGGCAGGCTCCCTCCCTCCAGCCCTGCGTCCCTCCGAGCTGGGTACCTGGCAGAGAAGGGTGGTATATTGGCCAGCGTGTGCCTGCAGCAGCACCCCATCCAGCTGGCGGGTGCGGAACGCCAGTCCCACGTACCACGGCACCGAGATCTTCACCTCACTCTTAAACTCCCAGGACAGGAGGCCGTTACCATGGAAATAGTGAGCGTGGGGCATGGCTGGAAGGGAAAGCAGGAGCATGAGGACCGTGGAGGGCTCTCTCCTGCACCCGCTGTCAGGGCAACCAGAGCCCTCCTCACAGGACACGCACACCCATGCAGGGGACTTCACATACTTGGGGCTCCTGCTCTGATCCCAGATGGGGGGGGCACAGTTATCCTGTACCTGTGAGCTCCGCCTCGGGCAGAATACCATGGTACCCCTGCCTGCAGGTTTTGCTTACAGGCCCACTGCACACTCATCTGTGCCCACCCAGCTGCCCTCCCCCCCACCACCCACAGTGTGCACTCACCCTGCCGGCAGTCCTTGCCCCCGAAGCCCACCGGGCACTTGCAGAAGAAGGTCCCCCAGCCCACCGAGCAGGTGCCGCCATTCTTGCAGGGGTTGGAGTTGCAGAAGGTGTGCTTGGCATGGCAGCCTGGGAACATCGTGGCAGAGGGAGAGATGGGAACAGTCACCTGCAAGGACTTATACCTGGCCTGTGCCTCCCCACCACCCTGAGTATGAATGGCATGTGTCCCCGGCAGCTGCAGGGGCATGGCTTCACTGGTGGCAGCGGGAGCCCAGTGGCGAGCGGGGAGCTCCCACAGATGCCGCCAGCACTGTCGGCGGGCGGGGGGGGGGGGGGGCAGGC